CACACACACACACAGAGCACCCCTCACCCCTGTACACACACACACACACAGAGCACCCCTCACCCCTGTACACACACACACACAGAGCACCCCTCACCCCTGTACACACACACACAGAGCACCCCTCACCCCTGTACACACACACAGAGCACCCCTCTCTCCTGTACACACACATAGAGCACCCTTGTGTATACACACACAGAGCACCCCTCACCCCTGTATACACACACAGAGCACCCTTGTGTACACACAGCACCCCTCACCTGGACTGCGCTCTTCCCTTTATGTATTGCGGCGGATTTGGCCTTCAGGCCCCCGCAGTAGGTCTCCAGGCCCCGCACAGCTCCCAGGACCTGCTCGGCGCTCCTCCTCATCTCCTCGATAGTATCGGCCGCCTCGATCAGATCTCGGTACCTCTCCCCGACCATCTGTCTCAGCTCCTCCTTCTTGTGCTCGATCTCCGCCCGCACCTTCCTCTCCAGGGCCCGGATCTCCTCCGCGCTGTGAGCCTCGAACAGGGCCCCCGGGTCCCGCATCTCACTCATCCTCCTCGCCGCCATCTCTGACAGCTCGGCCCGGAAGGCTTGGCCAAACTACCAGCCCCAGAAGACCCTGCGCGGGAGTTCCAAGCTAGTCTACGGACCAGCCTGGCGCGGGGCGTCACGGGAGTTGAAGTCCGAAGAGGGGGGAGGAGACCTGTAACCTCACGTGACCGCCACGTTGCCGGGGAAATGACAGCGGAGTGGGTCACGTGCTGCGGAGGACGGATCACGTGATGTAATGAAGCTGTCACTTGTCAACGTTATCAGAGCTTACAGTGTTCCTTAAAGGGGAACGTCACCCCTTCCCCAACACCAAAAAAATAGATTTTACTGCAGAAGAGACAGACTGTGTCTCCTTCTTATCTTGCTGCCTGGAATCTTCTTTATAGTGAACAATGAGTTGCACATGCGCAGGATTTACGCCACCCCAGGCCAGCCAATCAACGTGGCCAAATGTGCCAATTCCCCATTTTGAGTTTTTTTTTTTTTACCCCCATACACTTAATGCAATCTATTGTACAACGCACCTCCTGTGTATTACAGTGCTGTGGGTGCGTTGTGTTACAATTCATTTGAATGTCGCCCCAATGCACCTTCCGACCGCAGTGTGCTTAACCGCAACAGAACGCACGGTACTGCACGGGGCGCGGTGGAAAAAGTAGTGCATGCACAGTAGGTGCGTTGTGCGATAGCATGCTGTAATCGCATGGTACCTTGCGAGAAACGCACTGCAGAGGTGTACAAGGGCCCTGTAATCCTGAGAAGCTTTGCTGTGTGTGAACTGGAGGGAAGTTGCCATTTCTCCCAGCTGTGAATGTAAAGTATTCCTCCGGGCTCTGCTCAGTGTCCGTGGTGTCCATTGTTGTGTAGCACCATGCACTGAGTCAACGCAGTTTTCTCTGTGTCCTGTTCTCACCACGCAGGTGTGATGGGCAGTGCTCTGTGAAAAAATGCAGCGTACACAGTGCACTGGATAACATTTCGTGACAGCTCGCGCACTACTGAGCCCTGCGTCACTTACTACTGAGCCCTGCGTCACTTACTACTGAGCCCTGCGTCACTTACTACTGAGCCCTGCGTCACTTACTACTGAGCTCTGCATTACTAACCCCTCACCTCTGTGCTACTTACTACTGTTACCTACTGATGACCCCTGTACTCCATGTGTTACCTACTGATGACCCCTGTACTCCATGTGTTACCTACTGATGTCCCCTGTACTCCATGCGTTACCTACTGATGACCCCTGTACTCCATGTGTTACCTACTGATGACCCCTGTACTCCATGTGTTACCTACTGATGACCCCTGTACTCCATGTGTTACCTACTGATGACCCCTGTACTCCATGTGTTACCTACTGATGACCCCTGTACTCCATG